CTTCTTCCCTTTCTCGCCTCGCTGGCTTGCCATGGTGGGTCGTGATGAAGACAGTCTGGGGTCTCTGACCAAATTGCGCCGGGTCCCACCAACAGACGAGCGAGTCCAGGCCGAGTGGAAGGGAATCCTGTCTGAAGTTCGCTTCCAGCAGGCCATGCTCGCTCGGGAACACCCAAGCTCCAACGCTTTCACGGCAGAGTTGAATCAGTGGGCAGACCTCTTCAAGCCCAGATACCTGAAGCGCACGACTATCGCCCTTGGTATTCCTTTTTTCCAACAGGTAATGATCCGTGATGAGCGCTGCCTGATGCCATAGTGCTGACAGCCATTTCAGTTCAGTGGGATCAACGCGTTTGTGTATTACGCGCCAACGTTCTTCGCCGCTCTGGGACAAAAGGGAGACATGCCCCTTATTCTCTCCGGCATGGTCAACATCTGCCAACTTGTTGCCGGTATCCCCACGTTCCTTTTCCTAGATCAAGTTGGTCGCAGAAAGCTCGCCATTGGTGGTGGTTTTGCGATGGCTGTTCCCCACCTGATCATGGCTGGGGTTGTCGGCAAGTTCAGCTCGTCGTGGGATGAGCACCCCGCAATGGGCTGGTTTGGTGTCGCCCTCATCTGTAAGTTGATCCGGGTTTTTGATTGTAAACAAGAATTGCTGACACGTTCTGCAGATATCTACGTCCTTTGCTATGCGACTTCGTAAGTTGACGACCACGTTTCGATATCATATTCACGTGCTGACTTGGTGCTATCTTAGTTACGGCCCTCTTGCCTGGACGTTGCCTGCCGAGGTCTTTCCTAACTCCAAACGCGCCAAGGGCGTTGGTGCTGCGACTGCCATGATCTGGCTGGCTAATTTCATCATCGGCGTTTGTGTACCAGAGATGGTCATTAAGCTTGGATGGGGCACCTATCTGTTCTTCGGATTGTTCTGTGTTGCCGCAGGTGTCTTTTCCTTCTTCTTGGTGCCCGAGACTGCCCACAAATCTCTCGAACAGATTTCTGAGCTGTTTGGTGATAATAGCGTGGTTGAGGAGCAGGATATCCGCCGCCGCATCGTAGAAGAAGTCTGGACCGACCCCAAGTACAACTCGGTCACTGTGTCCCGGGCTTGAGTTGAGGTCAATCGAAAGAATCATGATGTAGCGATTTGATGAGAAATATCGAGTGAAATATGAGAAGACGCGGAGCACCCAGTGCGCTTATCACAACCTGAAGTAATTGTAGTGTCATATCAAGTGATCTTGCATCTGCGGGCTTCCCTGGCTCCGTCTTGTCCAAGGCATGGTGTCTGTAGCCACTGTCTCGGGGGCGTCATTGTTCCACCTCTCCCCTCTACGAAACGAGGATTCGGGTGGCAGACAAAACATAGGCGCGCTGCTCATTACGGAAACGCTCGCAAACACTTCACTTTACCCGTTTGCGAATAGCCAGATGAATGACTTCTGTCCAATCAGGCCTATTTAGCAGACCTTTACTGAAATGCAGAAGAGCGAAACCGACACTCATCCGAGGCGTCACGCACGGATACGGGCTGAGGGGAAACCCTAACAATTAACGTAGCACGCTTAGGTAGAAGAACATGAGAACAGCGTGGAGTAGGGCGAGTCAGCGTATGGATAGGCCGCTAACTAAGCCACGGCTAGGCCACATGCCGCTACTTTCGCCGAGTAATGTCCCTCTTTATATGCCCTCTACCGCCCCATCTCACTGAGCAGCTCATCGGCGAAATGCTGCCAACCTGAGCGCCATCCTATGCATCCCATCTCCTCTTTCCCATCATCCTTCACTCCTTAATCTTAGCCATGGTCTGATTGTCCTTCTCCGGGACGGGAAGGGATGGCTCCACCACAGAGACGCGAGCGGATCGTGCCCTGCGTGAAATGCAGAGGTAAGTAGGATTGCGGGATTGCCAGTTCGATGATTGGTGATTTTTCCGTCTTGATTATCGGATATAATGCCGTCTTACACGCACCCGGGAGCAAGCCGCGGGATGCGCGGGCTGAAATTCTCAACATCACCCCTTGTTTTGATTTTGGTGATGTCAAGTGAACGTCGAGAACTGATTTGATCGATCGCTGGGACACAGAAAAACATCTGAAATGTAAGACAATATCCAATTTTCCCGTCCATCGGACCTTGTCCTGGGTTGAGGTTTCACGGTAAACGTATCTGTTAATCGGTTGTATTAACCTCTCCTGGACTCTAGGTGATGGCGACATCCCGTGCTCTCACTGCAAGAAGTCAGAGTCCCAGTGTACGCGAGTGAACAATAAATTCAGGTTCAAAAGAGTAGTCACGACTGAGAAACGATTTTCCTTCGACGTCGATCAGCCTTGGTTACAAACGACCCCGGACACTTGTAAGACCGACCCTCTCCCTCTTCACTCGTTGACACATCTCAAATCTAACACAAATATGACACCGTTAAGTCCAGGCTCGACCTCTCGCTATTGTCGATGAATCCAGAAAGCCATCAGAAGATACACCCTCGAAACTAAAGCATGCATCAACAGCACCGATTTCCGATACCATTTCTCAAAGTGGAGAAGCAAACAACGAACACGATGACCAGATTCACGACCAAATAACCGTTGCGGCAGAACTGCTGCAGTCCATCTCACAAAGAGAACACAGTAATCCATCCGAGTCCATCTGCACGTCGAGAGTCCCTACCCATCAATCTCGACTCCGAACGAATCAGTCGCCCCCAAGAGGAGAAACAACCCCTGAAGATGTTCCTCAAATAGCGCTTGAAGATGCCATTGATCCCAATCTCGCTGCTACTCCAGCAGCCTCTTCCACAATAGAAACCCCATACTCTGGATTTTCAGCTCCCAGCCCGTCGGTCCCACGGTCGATACCAGATGGATGGGATCGAAGGACTCCTGACATTGGAGGCAGCAGATTGAGCGTACTCTCCCAGCAATGGCAACTACCTCTGGGAGATGACCGCGGACGATCATTTTCGGTATCGAGAAGCCTGGGTGGAGAGCTGCACCTTGGTCTTCAAGAAGGTTGTCTTATTCGTTGCTTCATAGAACATCTGGCTGCAGCTGTAAGTTGGGTACTTAATGCTTGACGAATTGGTCGGATACCTCTATCCCCTGACTTTGCTAACAGCTTCAACAGTTTGACACGACTGATAGGGACCGACATTACGTTACTGTAGTTCCGCAACGAGCTATGCATAATCCACTGTTGATGAACGCAATCTGTACTGCATCGGCCAGGTTTCTCACACAGATCTGGTCAAAGAAGCCGCCAAATCAGGTTATAGAGTTTAATGGGATTCCTCTCCCGAATTTAGACAAAGAGTCGGCGATACACTATCACAGCAAGTCCATCTCCTATCTGATGGATACTTCGACTGATCCTGCAAACCCGTGTACGGACGATGCATTGACTGCGATTACGATTCTACGATATCATGAACAAGTAGACAGTAGGAGATTCGACGATTCTTTCAAGGCAGAACACTACTAAATGATCTCGATGTTATAGCGCACCTTACCGGAACCGATCACGAAACCTACATCAATGCTGTCCAAGCTGTCTTCCATGCTCAACAGGAGGAGACAATCGGACTCTTTAGCATCGTATATCACCCTCCCCGCGGTCTCGACATATATGCGCCGACTATGCCCTCTTTACGACATTCTGCAACTCTGATTGCCCTCCGCCAAGAAATATGGTCTGTTCTTCTCTATCGAAGACCATTTCGATTACCCCTCTACGGAACCGAAGACTGCTCCTTGTTCGAACCTGATTCCGTTGCCGACGACTTTGACTGGGCGAATCGTATTCTGGTCTGGTGCGCATACGTCGTCAAGTTCTGCTTCGGTGCGAATTCCGAGGGCACTGTTGAAACTGAAGATCCGAAAATAAGAGCCGATCAATGGAAAGCCATCGAGGCCTTTCAGCATAATTGGGACACGCACCAGCCACCTCACTTCAAGCCCCTTGCCTACCAAGAGCGAAACCCGGAAATGGGGGAGTACTTTCCCACAGTATGGCATGCCAATGATTGTCAGGTGCTGGCCCTCCAGCACATTGAACTCATGCGAATCGTCTTGGCTGTGCACGGGGCCAAGAACAAACGGCTAGGCATCGGCGCGCAAGCTGCAAACCAGGTGCTGGAGGAGACCCTGAGGGAGTCGACCAGGAAGATTTGCGGTTTAGCTATCTCGAATCGGAAGGACCAACCATCAATGGTCACAGCTGGAGTCGGTGTGTCGTTGTGTGGGGAGTACTTCCGTGACGAAGGGGAACAGAAAGCTGTAGTTAGCTTCATGGATATGCTTGAGACGATGCATGCCTGGCCTACGAGCTCAGTGGTAGATGCTTTGAGGACGGCCTGGAGTACGCACACCAAGGTGTGAGGCATTATCAGTAGGCAATTCATACGACTGAATATTACTGGCAAGTCACATCAATGTTGTACCTGAACCATTTGATCAGGTGGCTCTTTGGCATGGATATCTGATGCACTTTGCAATCAACATGCAATGGGGAGAATAGGCAAGATTGCCGGTCAAAGTATGAGTTCACAGATCTCTTTCGGTCTTTGCGCCATTTGGTCCCAGCAAGCGGGGCAGCAAGTTTGCTAGATACCATGCCGTTTGCCGGCTTTCGTTTCTCTGTTTCTCGACCAACAACCCCAGCTCGAGCCCTTTCCTCCAGGGTGGTAGACTATTGATCATCTCCTGAACATTATTTTCAACTCTCACACACTAACCACTGCAACCGTGATGGAAGAACTCTAACCGGAGACCATCATCATCATTATCGTGGCGAAGCTTCTGTTGAGGCGTTGAAGCCCGAGGCTATTGGCACCGGTAATGTCTGCCAACCATGCATTTTCCTATTCGAGTCAAGATGCCTGAAGCAGATAGCTGTCATACTATTGTCAAGGTTCTGGGACATATTAAATGCACATGAGTGAGAAATTCGCATAAACGCTCGTAACAAAGTCTAACAAGCTATCTACACTCTTCCTACTTTGACTCGACATCACCTCTCCACTTCTTGAACTGCCGCGCGGGCAGCTTGATATTAAACATATGGTCAATCTCCATCACGCTTCGTCCCTTCATCTCTGGCAAGAAGAACCAAGAAAGCAAGACTCCTAAAGCACACAATCCGACGTAAATAAAGCCCGTCTTTCCTCCCCAGTTTCCGGCGTCCGGATTGTAGGCGAGAGGAAGAAGGAAGTTGATTAACACAGACGACCCTTGCTGAGCAACGCCGCCGATACCCTGTGTCTTTGCTCTCAACCTCAACGAGCTCGTTTCGCCCATGATCGCGTAGCCGGCAGGCCACGCGCCCATACCACAAACAATGATGATGGCGATGCACCCTCCGGCGGTGAAATACGCGACTGCAGGTCCTCTCCATATGCCAGAGATACCTACAGCAATCCAGAGAACAGTGGAGATTGACATGGAGATCAGTGTGACCTTTCTACGTCCAACTCTCGATAGAACCCACAGGCCAACGCCATTTGCGAATGTGCCAGCAACGATGCCACCGATCAGGATCATGAGACTGGTGCTCGACTTCATGCCGATGGTCTGCAAGAAGTAGCTTGACTTGGCAATCAGGTCGAGGCCAAACATCGCTGGGAGCAAGTTGGCCATGATGACAATCATTGTTCGTCGAGTATTGACGCCCTGGAAGCAGGTCAAGTACGTCGCTCCCGATGTAGCCTCCTTCTCTTCCGCAATGCTAGCCCGAACCTTCTCTAGGACCTTCAATGCATCCACTCTAGGTGCGTAGAGTTTGCGTGAGGACTCGAGAGCTCTATCGGACTGCCCGCGTTCTTCGAGATATGCGGGACTTTCGGGGATGATGACCGAGAGGATAAAAGGAACAACTGCGAGAAGCCATTGGGACCCAAAGGCGACGAGGTATCCGGTCCTGTTAGGTGCTTTGTTGACGAGGAAGACGACAATCGATCCCAGCAGTTGACCCAAGAGATTTCCCGTCGGCACCAAGCCCATGACCGAGGCGCGCAGAGACGTCGGCGCTGTCTCGGAGATGTACGTCATTGCGGTGACTTTGAGTATTCCAATGGCAATTCCTTGAACCGTCTTGCCGGCGAAGAAGAGGGCGCGCATGGTCTCGATATCCGCGGGGAGGTAAGAGAAGAAAATGCCTGCGACGCCAACAGCGCAAATGATAGCACCTGTCCGTAAGCTCCAAATGCGCCCGATGCGATCCTGATACCATCCTGCAAAGACGGAGCCGATGGCCATGCCGAGGGGAATCGCGGCCGACCATAGCGACACCCAGAGTGATGGAATGATCCATTTGTCCTTGTAAAGTTCTCCATAATCGTGCTGGAAGGGCTCGACGGCGACGATGGAGCCGACAATCACCAACGCGTAACCCCATCCGATGACGACGATTGTCAGGGACAGGCAGTACGCTACGACCTTGGGGTACTGGCGAATGGCCTGGCCCAGAGGCAGGTCCTTTTCCTCCTCTGGCACATTGGTGACAGACGTGGTGCTGATTGACTTCATGAGAGGGTTCGTTGACTCGTCTCGGACGCGACTGGTTTCGCCTGGCGCAAGATCTCGTTCTCGTCCGCCCCTCGTCTCTGTTATGTAGGACGGAGAGGGCGACTCCGTCAACTCGATGTTGTTGGTCGTGATCGACCCCCTGTCGCCAGGGCTGATCTTATCGTGAAAGGGGTTCATCGCTTAGCAAATATTTGCCAAAACTTTAAACGGGCGAATGGGGTAGACAGAATTAGGTATAGCTCCGCGCAGAGTGAAATGAGATTTGACAATGATTTGCTGTGTGTTCCCCCGGCAGTTATTTGCGCAGCTTTCTAGAGTATGATCGTGCGTTGGTCGGCGAGAACAATGGTAAGAGGTGGTGTGATGCCTTTCCATTCGGGATTCCAGTCTTGTGATTTGAACAGACTGGGAGCTTTTAAAGAACCCAGAATTCCTTCTTTACGCTAACATGTCCATCTTTAACGTGTGCAATCTGGCAAACGACTCTCAACGAACATTTGCAGTGGCATTGCTGTGAAGGATTGAAGACTAGGAGATGCCATGGCGCAGCAACACGGGTCAGCGACGTTGAAGTCCCCAACGGATTCAACTACGATCGCCAAGCTGGAGTTGACGACGCTCTTGACTCTTCCAGCTAGCACGTAGAAACTCAGATCCTTCGACTGATAGTGGTCCAGATATCCAAGTACCCCCATTCAGTCGTCGTCCGCATAAGAAAATAAGCATTGTGGCATTCTAAGACGATGCGGGGGCGTGCGACAGCGCGGCGCAGCAACTGGCGCGTTCCTCTACCGCTGTCATGCTGGACCATCGCCGCTCGCGCAATGTGCACTTCTTCCGACGGGTACGGGAACGGGAACGGACTAGAATCTTAGATCCAACTTCCAAGGCCCACATGTTTGCTAGCTGCCGTTATTCTTCGATCCTTCTAGGCTCGAGCCAACGGTGTTACTCTGATTGGAAGCTCAGTATGCGCCAATCTGCACCACCAGCCCCCTACGGACACGGATACGGGGAGCCCGTCTAAGCCACATACATATTGACTACGGTCCCAAACGTACGCGAACACATTCGATCAGAATGATGCACCGAGACAAATGCGTCGTAATCCTATCTTTCACTCACATGCCCGTAGGAAATTGGATATGATCCGCTGGCATTGACGGAGAATATCCATAATCCCGGATCACCGAAGGGTTAGAGGATTGGAACAGGATTCAACGACTTGGTCGACGAGATTCCATGCCTTTATTCGACTTAGACCTGATTTAAGAGCTGGTCTTAGGATCATCAAGAATCGTTTTCTTGTCTAAGAGAGAATCCCGTATCAAAAACACCCATACATCTCAATTCTTCATGCCGACTTTGTTGAAGCATCGAACAAACACCACACCCTCAGCATGAGTTCTGTCCTCGAAGAGTCTGCAAGCATGAATCCACACCCTCTCTGCTACATCGTTACACCAGTTGGGTGCATGGGGTATGGCCTTGACGAGGACGCTTGCGGCAAGGAACTCGCACAACTCGTTCCCAGCGGCGTTCCAACAGCTATTATCCTAGACGCCGGATCAACTGATAGTGGCCCCGAGAAACTGGCACTTGGCACCATGACTTGCCCTCGTTCAGCCTATGTCAGAGACTTGACCAAGTTGCTGAAGCTCGTACATGACTTTCGGGTTCCATTGGTCTTCGGCTCTGCCGGAGGAGATGGCTCCGACGAACATGTGAAGTTGATGGAAGAAATCATTGAAGAGATTTGTGCAGAAGATAGCAACTCGTAAGTCCTGCCTTACCCAAAGCTACATTCCTTGGCTAATGTAACAAGGCAATACTCGTTCAAAACTGTTTCAATATTTTCTACAATCGACAAATCCGTCATTCTCGAACGACTCAATGTTGGGGGGATCTCCGGCTGTGGAGTCTGTGTGCCCCCATTAAAGTCCAAAGATGTCAAAGATTCAACTCGCGTTGTGGCACAAATAGGCCCCGAGGCGTTCGTTGATGCCATGGAAGCCACACCCGACTTCGATATCATCATCGGCGGAAGAGCATACGATCCCGCTCCTTATGTTGCATACTCCATGTACCAGCTCAAACGTCAGAACCCAGGCATCACTCAAGACCAAATTGAGTCAATACATGGCGGGCTTCTGCACATGGGCAAGATCATGGAATGTGGCGGGCTTTGTTCAACACCCAAGTCCCACGGCGCTGTTGCCACCGTCTACGAAAGTGGCATGTTCGACGTCAGACCAATCGCGCCCGGTTCACGTTGCACGCCACTGTCAGTAGCCGCGCATTCATTGTATGAGAATACGAGGCCTGACATCCTGCGAGGGCCCGGAGGTGCTCTTCATCTCGACCAGGCACAATATGAGCAGCTCAACGATCAGCGTACCGTCCGAGCACGTGGGGCGCGCTTTGTTTCGTCAATCGCAGATGGCAAACCATATCAGTTCAAGCTAGAAGCTGCACGCGTTCTTGGCTATCGATCCATTGTTCTTGGGAGTGTCAAAGATCGTAAGTTGGCGTTGGTTATAGAAGAGTTGTTGCCCATATTTAACAGGCTTGCAGGACTGACAATGCGCAGATATACTCATTGAGCAATTGGACGACTTGCTCATTCTTGTCAAAGCCTACGTCAAGCAGCAACATAAAAATGTGTCCGGTAACTGGGATCTAGACTTCCACACTTATGGCAAAGGGCAGAGCACGCCCAGTGGTCCCGGGGAGATATTCATCGTCGCGGAAGCAATTGCCCCGACACAAGAACTTGCGACAGGTCTTGTATCGACGGCGAGAATTGCATTGATTGTAAGGATGACTCTATCACAAACTCATAATACTTTCTAACAGCAATGTAGCATGGGCCATATGCGGGCCAAAAGGCTACGTCTGGCAACTTCGCTTTCGGGATTGCTGGGAAATTAGAGATTGAGACCGGCCCATGTGCTCAGTTCTCGATATACCATCTCATCGATCTCAAGCCGGGCGAAGAAAGGCTCTCAATTACATCAGAGAACCAGAAGAACAGAAGCCTCCTCCGCTCTTCAGTCTCCATATTTGGAAACGGTCAGGGAACAAGCAGTAGCCAGCCTCTCCCGACGGACTTTGAGTCTCAGTCGACAGGCGGGCCGAATACAAATGGCAAGAAAGCCCACGCGAGCCAGCGGAACTCTCCTTCGAGTCCAAAGAGCATTGCAGGTCACTCGAGAACCCTTTCGGACATCTCCCGAGTCCTTCGTTCGAAGAACGCGGGGCCTTACGAGATTACAATGGACGTCATCTTCGAGTCCGAGTGCACCTTCAGAGCGATTCGAGAGTCGGGACTACTACATCCTGTCAATGTCGCCGAGGCTCTTGGCATTTCTGAGAGCGACATCGTTTGGACTGGGTTCTTTGAACCGGCTCTGGCATTCAAGGTAACGATACCTCGGTTCAGAGGGGGAAAGAGAGCTTCAGCCGGCAGCTTTATGGAGAATGATATTCATGGGTCGCAACAACACTTGGGACTATCAGTATTGAAGCTGCCAGCAAACTTCGCAGTCGAGGAGAACTGAATTGACAAGGTTGTATTTGAAGGACGTAGAACAGGGTTTTGCATGCATATAGACATAGAACACTAGGACATGATACATGAAGACTTATGTGGTCTATCGTGACCATGCTTCGGAATATGACGTTCCAGCGCGCAGCATATGGAGTGAGCATGAGGCCCAAAGCACTCTGGCCCAAGATCAATTATCCTCGCTTTCCGATTTGCCCATCCCTCACCATAATTCGCCGTCGCATGGTAAATGCAGTAGACACGGCTTCGATCATGTGGATTTGGCAAGAAACTTGCGTGCCCCGGCCCGTACGGACCTCCGCAGCGCTTGTGGCTGACCATAAGCGGTGTCGATCGCTTCGCCCATGCGCCTGGATCTAGAGGGTTCTGTCCTACGAGCGGCAGCAGGCCGAGCTTGTAGTCGCTAGTCCAGCTTCCGTCGGCAGAGTACACAATGCCTCTGAAGACACCAGGAATATCAACCCATGTCGGGCCCTCATTAACGCCCCGGCGGCCCTCATCAGGGCGTTCCCATGAGAGCTCAGCCCTCGAAATACAAAGGAGTGTGTCGGTAATGGCTTCTTCCGGGGCACGAAGCTTAATCAAGAACAGGTCTTGCTGCGTGTCGGAATGATCTCCAAGAGGCCATCCGGACCAGCAGCAGTATAAATCGTGTCCATTGGGACTAAAGACTGTGGCGTCGATGGACCAGTGGTCCGGCATACCCTTCAGCGGACCTAGAAACTCCCATGCGGAGGCGTCCATCGGATCCTGGGACGACGATCGGAGGACCGTAGTCCGATGGCCCGGGTTCCCGACCCCGGGCGGCGCGCCACAGGTGTAGATATACCACCGGCCCTTGAGGTAGTGCAGCTCTGGTGCCCAAATGTTGACTGACCATGGAGTCCCCGGCGCCGGCTGCCAAACGACACTCTTGTGGCAGTGGTGAAAGTTCTCGAGGGTGTTAGAGCACCATATTTCGACGCGGTTGTCCAGGGTAAAGGTGAAGTAGAATTTGCCATTGCCGGCCACAATCCAAGGGTCCGGCGTGTCGACATCGCAAATGGTTCGGTTAGACATGTTTTTCAAGCCTTTCGAATGGATTGCCAAGTTGATCAAGGGATTGTCTCAAGTGATGAGGTTCTTTGAGGTGTTTTCAAGCTTATCTGTGGCGTGTTCAGAGAAATCAGACTCAACGGCTGAAAAGGCTGAAGCGTTGAAGACACAGCGGTGCTTGGGCTGCGGGAACGTCACTTGTGTTTCAGCCAAAGTCATCTGATGTTGCGGCCTTGGAGTTGGAGATCAGCAGGGACAAGGTGAGTAATCCTAGTACTTGCGTCATTTCTCCGCATTATCTGCCCCGGGTTGATCAGCAAACTCAAGCAACCAGGTGCTTGGAGAGCTTGGATGGGTTGAGTTCTAGTAGAGAGAATTTCTTTCTGGTTTGACATGTGCAAGTCAATGCGGAGAGCCTGGTTATGTGTTAAGAAAAGCAAGCAGCTTTTTTGCAGCACAAAGACACCGGTGAAGGCATTCCATCACAGATCTCGGCACTTCAAGACACGAGTCATGACGGGAACGCCGCTCTCGGGCAAGTCGGGTATGTCTGACTATGGACTCAGAAGGCATGTGCACTGGAATGTCCACTGTCTAAAGTTGTACCTGTGTCCATCGGAAGCTGTCATGGTGCATCCAATAATTCACCAGAGATTCAATAGTCATCATTTCTTCAATCCCACGTCAGACCACAAACCCGTTGGTTTCCTCGGTGGGGAACAATTCCATGTATATGGTCAGGCTTCATTGACGCATTCTCAGTCTGGGAATAATATGCTTGGTTGGATTCGGTGAAATCTGGAAACTTTGTCAGCGGTTCAGAAGAGACGCCCAGATTCATCGAACACCGGAGTGGAGGCACACGAAGGAGAGGCACATACGTATTGGCCATAGTGAACATTTCGATATCTCTCAGTCTCCATTTCCTCAGGACTGATCTGGTAGTAAGCCAAGAGCCACTCATTATCTAGGGAGCTCTTCGCAAGCCCCTGCTCTGGCGCCTGCACATATTGTTCTAAAAGAGGTGCGAAGAATGCTGAGGCTTGCTCAAGTTGCGCGTTGGCTTGACGGCGGTTCTTCGAAAAGGCGGCAGATATTCGGGCCAATAGGGGTTGTTGGGCCTTCAATGCTTTCATTACGGATATTAATGTTGCAGAGTACGTTACAAAGTATCGACCACCTCGGGCTTGAAACTATCCCCTAGAATGACCTTCCAAAGGACGTTCGAGTAAATGAGTAGGATTTGCGGTTGGATGATGACACGCTTTGGTGCTGTACGAGATCAACATTAGAAAGACTCTTGATATGAGAGGTACTAGGCGGATGATCGGGAAGGTAAATGAGTGAGAAGCCTACCAGCTTTTGAACCCCCGGATGGCGGACCGAAAACACTGCATATACCCTCATTCAACGCGGTGGATATGACATCGAGATAACGATCTTTAGTTGTAGGCTATCGTTAGTTTACAGCAACCGCAATCGCAAAAAGTAAGTAGTACGAGACGCACTAAACCCGGACATGCGCGAGACAACTTAGCGGTAGGAAAAGGGTTCCTCGAATGGTGCGCCGTTTTAAAGCACAAGAAGAACTGGACAATTTTAGCTACAATCACTCGACGGTCGCGCCTTCGTGAACAGACCTACTTACGAGCGGGCGCCACCTCCTCGTCGGTCTTCTTGCACAATGCGAGCTAATGTGCTGGCACAATCAGAACTAAATCGGAACCATCGAGAGCCGTCACTCGAAATACACCGCTCTTCACCTAGTTAGAGCCCTTCTCAATGATATCAACGCCATTAGCGGCGAAGTCCTGTCTGCTGGTGAACCAGGATCCTGAGCTGGCGATTTTGGGACTTGGTTTTTCCGCGGTGGCCCGGTCCATAACCATCGGGAGGATTGTGACGAGAACCACCACAACAGCCAATGCTGAAAAAGGGGTCAGCAGGCTAGCTAGTTGCGAGAACCAGTGCAGTGGGAGAGCGGTATATTCCATTTCGACAAAGACCTCTTCAATACGACGATTCCAAGAATACGACTTGGGAAAGAGCTGAAGTGCTGGGTGGTGTGCTGAGCGAAGGAGAGATGGTGGAGCGAGAGGCCAGTTGCCGCAAGATGTTTCAGTTTTATTCTCACATTCGCGCGAAACACAGATAAATAAGTGAACGGAAGGTAGACACACAAAAGCCCGGGCAATTAGCTTTGCCGCTGCCTACAGCTTGTGTACATCTCTCCACGGAGCTGTGAGTAGCCGAACGTGAAAGTGTGGGATGGGAAGTATAAGCATTTGAGGCAAAGTATGGCGGACCGTCCAGTGTGAAATTCTATCCATCCATGTCTGGCGGCTAATACTCCCCGGCTTCGTCGTAAACCTCTGTGCTCGTATCCGAGGCGGATAGTCTGACCACGTTGGTCTGAAGTCATTCGAACGAAGATTTTGGAGCTCGAGCTTGCAACAACTTGCTTCAAGGGACTACAAGCTTGGGATGGTGGTGTATCTACCACAAAATTATCCAACTTAGTAACGTCTTCAATTCCTCGAGGCAAAACTTCGATGTTCAACCATTGTTAAGTGCCATACTGCTTGAAATGGGTGGCGTCTGGTGTTCCAGGCATCAATAGGGCAATGTACGCGCCTGAGAGGTGACTTTTTTCGTCTAAGGACGGCACGAGAGACATTTTTGATCCGAAGTATATGCATTTTCGAATGCTGGTGGTGCTTGTGCGGTAGAATTTCCAACTAGAAAAGCTTTCACAGAAACTCAACACGAAGGGGGCTTACGACAAGTTGACGTGGGATCCGCACGAATGTTTCGTTCGTTTGCCATCTTTGCCTTTATGAGCAATGATTGTATCACCGCTCGCATAGCAATGAGGGACTTCCATGGCCTCGCGATGAGCGAACAAGCACTTTAGATGGCATCTGTTGCATTTGATGAGGTGGATTATTTGCGCACTCCTGATGTCGGGGACCATCATTGTCGACATCGCTAGTGAAAGTTCGAAAGATAGATCATGAAACTGCGCCTTGATCTATTTATAGCCAAAAGGACGTGATAATAAACACTATGGTATCGTTGCTTTAGTCTTCCTCTACCCCCTATAATATTGCTTACGAGCATGCAGCGACGCTCCAAGTCATGTGTCAATCTTTTACAATGGCACAAAGGCAATTGATGTTGGGCCCCGTTCAAAGCCCGTTGCTTGCACAGCCAAAAGGCTTGCCGACGGTGCCCGCTCTAAACTCTTCAATGATGCCTTCGACACTGGCGTATGTGCCGGCAGTGAGGAACAAAAGACCGGTGAGAATAATGATGATGTTGAGACCCATCGTCGTAAGATCGGCAAGTTTTCCCGGCTTGGGGACACCGGCGCGATTATCGGCACCTCGCATGCGGAAGTAGGCGACGCCCCAGAAGATGAAGCCGAAGAATGAATCGAACAGAGAGGACATGAGGGAAAGCACTGAATCTAGTTAGCGAAAACTCTAGATCATTGACCAAGCGAAACTTACGGGAAGAGAAGAAGGGGATAAGTTCGGCAATCAAGAACGCCAAAAGCCACAAGGCAAGAAGAATGGTGGCCCAAGAACCCCAGCCGACAATGGTGTGCTCGTGCAAGTGCTTGGTGCCCTTGAAGAGACGGAAGAAGAGGAATCTAGCCGAAACGCTGGCATACAAGACGCCGAGGAAGACGAGAGTCGGGATCATGAAGGAGAATGACACCTTCTTATAGACTTCCTCGAGGGAGCCGAAGGCGGGAGCCGTCATGTATTGGTTTCCGACGAAGGCGTAGACGACAGCTCCGACAATGCTGAAGACGATGATCTCACCAATGGTCACGGCCCAGAGAGCCTTGGGGAAATCCCTATACCTGGCTTAGCATACATGCTAAAAGAGAGTATGATTGTAGACTTACCTAGGATCCTTCATCTCCGCAATGAAACTGGGCAACGTGATTTGGCCGATGAAAGTATAGCTGATATTCAGGAAGGCATTCATTCCAGAAACAAAAGTCGTGGCAGCAATGGGGATGGCCGTGACAATCGGGGCGCCGCCAGTCTTTGTTGTGCCTGTGGTCTCATCGACATACGTTGATCTGGGGTCGTAGCCGGCGGGATGCGCCTGAATGCCAGCAAAGATGGTCGCCAGAAGCACTGAGATGAAGGTGAAGGCTGCGGAGGCGGTTCCGGCTTTCGAAAGGGCGTCGAAGGTGCGAGGCAGCGAGCAGAGCCAGCAGATGATGGTGACGACGATGGAGAAGACGACGGTTCTGCAGACGACGGGGTCGGATTCGGTCATTGTGTTGAGGTACTTGGCGCCAACGAGGACGTGTAGAGCTTGAATGAACTACGTACGTAGTGTTAGCAATGCACCCATGTTGTCGACGGGAGTAAGAGGCATACAGTGTTGTTCAAAATGAACATGACAGCCGTAGCGTACCAGGCCCATGTCTTTCCCCAGAAGAGCATCTGGCCGATATCGCAGACGTCGCGAACTTCGGGGTGTCTCATGCAGAACTGCCAAAGAACCAAAGATCTACACGGGCAGTCAGTATTATGTCGAGGCGAGCTGGGCGAGGGAGTCGGAAATTACGTGTAGAGCACAACGAGCGCGATGACGGCAGTGAGAATCAACCCGGGCACCAGGCCAAGAATACTATATGACCACGGGAAACTCATGATGGCCTATGTCGGTCAGCACGATCTGCCACGCGCCAAATCTCCCCCAAGACGGAAACTCACCAGACAAATGTACTCGGAAAACAGCAGGCCGGCCGTCTTCTGCCAGCTGCACGTCCTGTACTTGATCGCATGGCTATTCTCCTCGGCAAGCTGCTTGGTCAAGATAGCATCGGCGCTGTCTTCGCTGTCGGAGCCCTCTCCGACACCCTCCTTGCGAGGCGCAATCCGCGGGCCGACCTTTGTGTTGCGGCCGCCGAACCAGGCGCTGAAGCCGGAGGAGCCTCCTGTCTCGGCATCGGCGCGGGCAAAAGCGAGCTCGGAGGAGCCCTTGTCGTTGGACGT